AGATAACTTGAAAATGGCTCGATGAAATGCCTTGAAATTTGGCACACATATGTATAGGCATATGTACAAAGCACAGAATTTTGTTCAACCTTGACCTTGACTGATGACGTCATCTAGGTGCCATTTTGTAAAATTTTACGAAAATCAGTTCATGATCATATCTTCATAACCAAAAAGTATTTCTCATTTATATTTATCATGATCAAGGTCAATATCCTTCCGGTCAATTGCAGGTCAAATAACGCGCGCGTGCGCGTACGTCCGCGCGTCAATGCGCGCGTAAAATTTTAAAATGCTCAAAATCGTCTCAAAATCATTTTGTATACGTTTTAGGCCATTCTAAGCATTTTATAAAAAATCGCACACACGCACATGCGTGCGCGTTTTCGCGCGTAAAACTATTGCACAACATAGAATCGCCATTTTTTTCTTTCATAAAATTCCACATATTTTTACAAACAAATTGATAGCATGTTTATCTCTTTATGACTATTAATGACGGAATGATCGACCGTTAAACATAAATTTCCGTGCGCGCGAGCTCTTGTAATACATAGCATATATGAGCAAAAACATGCCTATGCAAAATCCATTGTAGCTCTTTAGGATGCAAGGTGACCCCAATTTTTATTTCATATTTTGATTGAGTATGAATCGGAGATATGATTTCATGTCTCATTTGACCCTCAATTAACTCATGACGTCATCATAATGGCCTCCGAACTCAAAATTTCAATTTGCATATTATGACGTCAGCATATTTTTGGAAAGTTGATTGTATCTTTGTAAAAATTGATCGATTTTCTTCAAAATTTTGATATGTTCTAGCTGAGACAATTTTCTACAAATCCATTTGCCACAATTTTTCATTTTGACAAAGGCATTATGGCGTATTTTTGCGATTAAAGGAGGCATGTCAATTTTTCACATTTTGCGTGTATTCTCTATGGGACATGACTTTTTCTCAAAACTTGATTCTACATTCCCGTCTTTCGCGAGCAATCTATACGTCGTTTTAGCTTCATTTACGCTGAACTTCGAGTATGTTGTAGCTGAGACAAAAAGCTATCTCAAATGTACCCTTCATTTTGCCTCAATTTTTTGTTGGATCAGCCCACCTATACTTGTTCCAAACAAGTATTACAAATCTAGTTTATTTTTATTTCTTCCGTACACTTTTTTGTGCACACGTTAACTCGAAATCGACATGGTCAATTTCCTTTGAATTTCTGTCAGTCATCAAGCCCTATGATTTCAAGTCTAATTAACTTTTTCAAGTTCATGGGGTCATCGTGACGTCATCCAGGCGCCATTTTGTAAAAATCAGGTCATTATCATATCTCGATAACGAGTCATCAAAAATCAACCATATTTGGTATACATCAACTTCAGGTCAAAGGTCAACGAAAAATGTCAAAAAATTTTGCGCGCGCACCTCGACGCGCACGTACGCGCACATTGAAATTTTAAAATGGTCAAATTCGTTCCAAATTAATTTTGCATACGTTTCAGGCCATTTTAAGCTTTTTCAAAATTTGCGCGCGCGTAATTATGCGCGCGCGTTTCCGCGCGTATTCGCGCGTCCTGGCATTTTGCAACATAGAATCGCCAAATTTTTTCTGTTATCATATTTATTACATTTTTCTAAGCATTTTGATACCTTGTTTACCTGTTTCCGACCAGTAATACCGCAATTAGCGGCTGTCAAAGTTGAACGCACGCGCCGACCTGCGCTATCTGTATCCACAATACATGGGCAAAAACATGCCTATACAAAATTCATTTTAACTCTTCAGAATTGATAGATAACCCCCAATTTCTTTCATATTTAAATAGATTATGAGTTGGAGGTATGATTTCATGTCTCATTTGACCCTCAATTAACTCATGACGTCATCATAATGGCCTCCGAACTCAAAATTTCAATTTGTATATTATGACGTTAGCAGATTTTTGGAAAATTGATTGTATCTCTGTAAATATTGACCAATTTTCTTTCAAATTTTAATATGTTTTAGCTGAAAATATTTTCTACAAAATTAATACAGTCACCAGAATATTTCATTTTGACAATGGCATCATGGCGTATTTTTGCGATTAAAGGAGGCATGTCAATTTTTCACATTTTGCGTGTATTCTCTATGGGACATGACTTTTTCTCAAAACTGGATTCTACATTTTTGACTTTTGCGAGCAATATCTCCGTCGTTTTATCTTTGTTTACGCTGAGCTTTGAGTATGTTGTAGCTGAGACAATATGCTATCGTAAGTGTGCCCTTTATTTTTCGATCAGATGCCGGGATCATGCTCATATTTCACTTACAAAGTGGGATTTGAGATTTCCATTTTTCGTTTACGTGTAATCTCTATGGGAAATGTTTTGGTATATCGGTAACGCACTTGACTTCCGACCTCGAGGTCCCTGGTTCGAGTCCGGGCGTCTCCATCAATTTTTTTCTTCACTTTTTTTTCTTTTTGACCTTTCACTGTACCATCTCCTTCGAATATTAAAACACGTACAATCGCAAATAATATAATAAACAACCATATTTCCTTTATTATTCCCCAGTATCACTTGATCCATTACTTTTCGCGTGTAATCCTTATAGGAGATGACTTTTTCTCAAATCTGGATTCTACATTCTTGTCTTTTGCGAGCAATATCGCCGTTATTTCGGCTTGATTTGTGTTGATTTTTTAGTATGTTGTAGCTGAGACTATATGCTATCTAAATGTTGTCTCATTTTTTTCAGTCTGATGTCATCATGGTCTGTTGATGATAATCATCAACATCATCATGATCATCATCATCATCATCGTCATCACAATTACTATCAAGATCATCATCATCATGATCATCATGACGATCATCATTGTTTACATGTCTATATAACTTCTCCCTTTCTCAAGATAGTAAATATTATAATCTATCATAAGACTTGAAGACAGACCACCTTATTCGTCCTCGTGACGAATTAAATTCTAGTTTATTTTTATTTCTTCCGTACACTTTTTTGTCCATACGTTTACTCGAAATCAACATGGTCAATTGCCTTCAAATTTCTGTCAGTTATCAAGCCGTATGATTTCAAGTCAAATTAACTTTTTCAAGGTCACTAGGTCATCGTGACGTCATCCAGGCGCCATTTTGTAAAAGTCAGGTCATTATCATATCTCGATAACGAGTCATCAAAAATCAACCATATTTAATATACATTAACTTCAGGTCAAAGTTCAACTAAAAATGTCAACAAATTTTGCGCGCGCACCTCGACGCGCACGTACGCGCGTATCAAAATTTTAAAATGCTCCAATTCGTTTAAAAAAAATTTTGCACACGTTTCAGGCCATTTTAAGCATTTTGCAAAAAAACGCGCGCACGGACATGCGCGCGCGTTTTCGCGCGTAATTGCATCTTCCAACATAGAATCGCCAAATTTTTTCTGTCATCATATTTGGCACATTTTTTCAAGCATTTTGATACCTTGTTCAACTTTTTCTGCCCATTAATAACGGAATGAGCGTCCGTTTAAGATAATTACCGTGCGCGCGAGCTTTTGTAATACATAGCATACATGGGCAAAAACATGCCTGTACAAAATCCATTGTAGCGCTTTAGGATGCAAGATGACCCCAAGTTTTTTTTTCATATTTTGATAGAGTATGAATCGGAGATATGATTTCATGTTTCATTTGACCCTCAATTAACTCATGACGTCATCATAATGGCCTCCGAACTCAAAATTTCAATTTTCATATTATGACGTCAGCAGATTTTTGGAAAATTGATTGTATCTCTGCAAATGTAGATCAATTTTCTTTCAAATTTTGATATGTTCTACCTTAGAATATTCTCTACAAATGCAGTTGCCACGATATTTCATTTTGACAAAGGCATCATGGCGTATTTTTGCGATTAAAGGAGGCATGTCAATTTTTCACATTTTGCGTGTATTCTCTATGGGACATGACTTTTTCTCAAAACTGGATTCTACATTCTCGTTTTTCGCGAGCAATATCTCCGTCGTTTTATCTTTGTTTACGCTGAACTTTGAGTATGTTGTAGCTGAGACAATAAGCTATCACAAGTGTGCCCTTTATTTTTCGATCAGATGCCGGGATCATGCTCATATTTCACTTACAAAGTGGGATTAGAGAATTCCATTTTCCGTTTACGTGTAATCTCTATGTGAAATGTTTTGGTATATCGGTAACGCACTTGACTTCCGACCTCGAGGTCCCTGGTTCGAGTCCGGGCGTCTCCAACAATTTGTTTTCTTCACTTTTTTTTCTTTTTGACCTTTCACTGTACCATCTCCTTTGAATATTGAAACACGTAGAATCGCAAATAATGTAATAAACAACCATATTTACTTTATTATTACCCTATTATCACTTGATCCATTACTTTTTGCGTGTAATCCTTATGGGAGATGACTTTTTCTCAAATCTGGATTCTACATTCTTGTCTTTTGCGAGCAATATCGCCGTTATTTCGGCTTGATTTTTGTTGATTTTTGAGTATGTTGTAGCTGAGACTATATACTATCTCAAAGTTCTCTCATTTTGTTCAGTCTGTTGATGATGATCATCAACATCATCATGATCGTGATGATCATCATCGTCATCACCATTACTATCAAGATCATCATCATCATGATCATCATCATGATCATCATTGTTTACATGTCTATATAACTTGAAGGCAGACCACCTTATTCGTCCTCGTGACGAATTAAAATCTAGTTATATCTGCCTTTTTGAGCCACCGGCCACGCTGATTTGGGTGGTGTAATCACCAGAAGCCAATTGATGAGTTACGGTAAATGGAAAAGTTGAGCATACCTGAAAAAATAATCTTGCTTTTTGTACATTTTCAGTGCTGTTTCCTTTATATAACATGCATTAATTGTTCTATGCTTTAGGAATATTCACATTTATAGACAATACAAATTGGAGAACACACATGTAGAAAAATGCAGAATTGGAAATACACTTACCATTGGGTCTGTGTTATCAAGAGGCTGAGGAGTGAGGGAATAGGCGTGAGGATGATTGAAAGATGTGATAGAAGAGAAAGATGTGTTTGGAGAGAAAGTGTCGGGAGGAGAGAAGGCAGAGGTGCTAGGAGCAGAGAAGGTAGAGGCATAAGGAGCAGAGAAGAAAGAGTCCGGAGGAGAGAAGACAGTGGTGTTAGGAGCCGAGAAGGTTTCATGAACAGAGAAGGAAGACTCTGGAGGAGAGAAGGCAGAGGTGTTAGGAGCAGAGAAGGCAGACTCTGGAGGAGAGAAGGTAGAGGTGTTAGGAGCAGAGAAGGACGAGTCTGGAGGAGAGAAGGCAGAGGTGCTAGGAGCAGAGAAGGTAGAGGCATAAGGAGCAGAGAAGAAAGAGTCCGGAGGAGAGAAGACAGTGGTGTTAGGAGCCGAGAAGGTTTCATGAACAGAGAAGGAAGACTCTGGAGGAGAGAAGGCAGAGGTGTTAGGAGCAGAGAAGGCAGACTCTGGAGGAGAGAAGGTAGAGGTGTTAGGAGCAGAGAAGATGTCAGGAGGAGAAAAGGTAGAGGTGTTAGGAAAGAAGTTGGTAGAAGAAGAGAAGGCAGAGGTGTTAGGAGCAGAGAAGGTGTCAGGAGGAGAGAAGGTAGAGGTGTTAGGAGAGAAGTTGGTAGAAGAAGAGAAGGTAGAGGCATAAGGAACAGAGAAGGACGAGTCTGGAGGAGAGAAGGCAGAGGTGTTAGGAGCAGAGAAGGAAGTGTCTGGATGAGAGAAGGTAGAGGCATAGGGAGCAGAGAAGGTGTCAGGCGGAGAGAAGGTAGAGGTGTTAGGAAAGAAGTTGGTAGAAGAAGAGAAGGCAGAGGTGTTAGGAGCAGAGAAGGTGTCAGGAGGAGAGAAGGTAGAGGTGTTAGGAGAGAAGTTGGTAGAAGAAGAGAAGGTAGAGGCATAAGGAGCAGAGAAGGAAGAGTCTGGATGAGAGAAGACAGAGGTGTTAGGAGCAGAGAAGGTGTCAGGAGGAGAGAAGGCAGAGAAAGTAGAGGCGTTATTGTGAGAGACAGATGTGTTAAGAGAAGAGATCTTAGTCATGAGGATGAAATCAGATAGTGTAGGGTAAATTTTGGTTTGGTTAATACATTTCAATTGGTAAGTTATGGCATGTCGGAACAATTTTTTTAAAAGACTTAATCGGAACTTTTGCCAGCTTGATCTCTCTTGACAGCTTTCCTGTTTACCTCTTCTGGTTTCTCTGTGAAATAATCAACAATAATGTCTTCAAAATAGGTGGCCTATTCAACAACAAGAGCAGCACAACAGCGGGTAGCATGGGTGTCGATTTGTATCTGTGGTTGGGGGATGAAAGGTACCAAAATATTTTCGGCAATGTATCAAAGCAACCAAGAGGTAGAAGCGTGTGGCAGGTTGCACCCCCTCCCTCCCAAGTTGTTAACTTTTTCAAGTCACCCTCAATAAAGATAACATTTCAGAGAATATAAGAATGGTAATAAAATTATTAACATGCTAAATGTTAGTCCTGACTCTTGCCTGCAGTGTAGGCCTACTAGACTGATATCATCTATTTTTAAACGAAATTTAGACATTACCTAAAAAAAAATCCAATGATGAGGGATATCAACTTGTGAAAGTATTGTGTTACCAGTGGGCAAATGCATTAGGTTGGTTTGGTTCACTTCCGAGGAATCCTTCCTCATCTCTTTCACCTCCTTCATTGCTTGTGGACATGGTGGAAGGACCACCTAGTTCATGTTCATCATTTCCCTCTGTTTGTAAGGACATTGGTTTTGGAACTTCTTTCACAGATTCCTCGTCTCTTTGATCTATTTTTGGTCCATTTTGCAGGGCAGAACTTTCACCTTCTTTATCTTTTTCCTGTCTTCTAGTAGATACCTGGAAGAAATTGGGAAATTGGATCTTGGAGTACTTCTTGCGCTTTGCAGGGGGGGGGGGGGGGGGGGGGTACTCAGATTTTAGTCGGGCAAAATATTTCCTTTATGTTTATTCCGTTTTAACCATTTTTCTTGTACTTTCTTTGTACACTTTCAAAGAGAGCTTTTTCAAATACATGATGAATACACACAAGGTCCAATAGGTAGTGTGACTGATCTACACGTACTTACCAGGATAATAGATAGGCAACTATATTTGCTGTTACGAACAGAAAACTTCTTACGGGTATTCAAAAACCGTAATTTGTGGTAAACTTCACAAGTCTTGATGTTTTGAGTAAAATTATAAGGCTTGCATTAGGTGACATATTCAGTCGCAGTACGTGTACGTTTTAGATCGTCTTATTACTTCTACTTCTACGACGATACTCAGCAGGATCCATAAGTCAGGATGTATAGTGCTGAGGAATAAACTATCTAGTTCTTGGTCTAGATGCTGGGTGGAAGCGCTCCCTTGAAGCCCTCCAGTGAAGTAGCGTCAAGAGTGATCTTTGAAAGTGCATTCCACGCAGTTACTGTCCGAGGGAAAATGACTTCTGGTAGAGCTGGGTGCGGGATCGGATAGCCAGCAACTTCTGCGAGTGATACTGTCGTGTGTTGCTGGCAATCATGGATGCTGTGTAATGGTGTGCATTGATGGCTACTGTGTTTTTTTGGATCTCCAGGCTCTCCCATTTCAGATGTTGAATCATGGCCGAGACACTGGTTAGAAGAAGGCTCTTCAGGACGAATGGTCACTCGCACAGTGCCATCAAAGCTGTCTTGCTCTCGCTCCCTTGGTCTTCTAGAAGTACATCTAGTTGTTTTTGCTCTTACCAAACTATCAGACTTTTTCCTGAGCACTTCTATCTCTTCCTTTGGCGGAGCATAACTATCCCCCTTCCATGACAGATTCACTTTAGTAAAAATATCAACAAAGGCAATAGTGTTTACATCACTTCTATGTAGTTCTGTGAACCATCTTCATTGAAGTCCACTAGCTGATATGGAGAAATAATAACAATATCCTTTTCTCATTATTGTAATCCACAGGTATACTGCAGTCTTTGCGTCCATGTTGCCCTGACAAAATAATGCGATTTACCTTACCCAAGTGAAAAGATTTAGAGTGTTGGTCAAAATATGCATAGTCAATGGATTTCGAATAATTAATAATCTAAAGTAGATATTAAGTTAGACCTTTTGTTGACGGCTGATTCGAATTCGATCATTGAATTTCTGTATTATATAAAACTGATTGTAAACAAGTGAGAATTAACCTCAAAATCCATGGCCGTAAAAGGCCAGTAAGCTAGGCTGTTCTCCCAGTGCTCCAGCTTGGGCGTGATCGTGAGTTGGCATTGACACAGCGTACAGCTAGCTGCATATGGCGGCACGTGGCGAATGGCGCTGCTGGACCGGTACGGTAGATATCGATGCATGCAGCTCAGCGCAGTACATGGATCTGTCGCAGCCGCCCTATACCCGTACATGAGCTCTCAAGCATCGGCTATATAGCTCCCTGCTTGAGCCTTTGAGCCCCGCTGCTTCCCGGCTGCTGAGCAGAGGGTACGGGCACGGTATAGCTGCCGATCATATCATTTCCAGCGGAGAAAATGAGGGAGAAAAGAGGGGAGAGGAATAAATGAAAAAAGGGACCCATGTCTAAGGTTTTTTTTTAGAATGGGACCCATGTCTAAGGATTTTTTTTAATGAAAAAGGGGACCCATGTCTTAGGATCTTTCCTGAAAAAGTCACCATTCCGAGCACCCCCCCCCCCCCCCCTCTGGGGGTCGTCCTTTATTACGCAACATTTTGCGTCGACTTTGTGATCTTCTCTGTACGGTAAAGACTTTTGGTGCCGCTCGCAGATGTTTCCATTTTTTTTTAATTTAACCTTCATCCACTCGATCGCTTCTTCTCTTCGGCACTCTCCCATCTGCAGTGAATGATGCTGGAGTTGATGACAGCGAACCCTTCCTGATTCTAAGTTCTTTTTCAGCAGATTGTCCCCGCCATTAATTCTGTACTCCAGAAATGCTCAGAAATTGCCACAGTTGCTGGTTTCATCGGCTGTCATCCATTCTGCCTACCACAAAGTAGGAACTGTTTCAGCTATTGCCTGAAGCATTTGCTTTTTTTTTTTCTTCTTCCCGTTTTGCAAGCATTTTATCCATGGTCGTTTTGTTGTTGTTTTTATTTCAGCAATTAAGCCCCCAAATCCCGTCTTCGATGTCGTTCATTTGCTTGTTTTTGCTAGCATTTATATTGCTGATCACTAGTCTCCTTCAGGTATGACGCGGTAAACCGCCGGAAAAACAAAATATTATATAAACGCAAAAAAGGTCCCACGTACGCGTATTCACAGAGCTTGTGTTATGAAATACAGATAAATATGAAGCGTATTCACTTTAATAGGCCGTCATTTAAAAAAGAACCGCCTCTGTTTTACCTCCTCATAACTGAACGATCCTTAATTCAGACAAAATGGTAAAGAAAACAAAAAGCTTGTGTCATATGTATAAGAATATACCAAATTGGAAAGAGGCCGCACAAAATGATATTTTTATTGTAAATGATGTCATTTTTTTGATATACAGTCAACTTAAATAATTACTGAAGAAAGAAGTTATCTGAGTTATAGTGATGCACATAGTATTGTACAAACAACAGGGTCGTACTGTTCTAAATACCATTATCGAGTCTTACTATTAATGCTCGTGATAACATTTACATTATCGAAATGATTCACCTTGTACATGTTTATTATTTCTTCGATATATATATATATATATGTATATGCAACAATTTCAATGTTACGTTCCTTTCTTTCTTGATATGTGTTATATTGCCAATACTGTTTTAGTTATAACTGTTGTATCGAGAGGAGGAACAAATTAAAAATAAATGAATATGACCAGTATTTCCTTTTTGTCTTTCTTCTTTCTCTTTTAAAAATAACTGGTATAACAGAGTGAACTGTGTAGGTGTATGACGCCGTCCCTAGGTAGTATTTACATTTCTAACAATGCTGCTACCAGTTTGTACAATGCACGTGACAGAGCAAATTTATTATCATTTTATGACGATTCCAGAACCATCACAGTGTTCACCAATAGTTATGTGTTACATGATAGCCCTATTCTAATTGCTTGCATTATGGATCAATATTCCAAAAACACAGTCATAACAAAAATCATACATATAATAAATACATTAAAATGTAATTGATGCATTTTTCAACATCCTTTATCCTCTGCTCAGCTTCTATTAAACATAATGACAATCCTTTTGAATACCAATACTCCACTTGGTTCATTGAGCTAACACTGGGAGAAATATCGGTTACTCGAAATGAATAATATCATGGCCTTAAGGAAAAGAACTGTCTTAAATGTAATGCAAAGTTTGGGTATGGGGTCATGAATTTGGTTCAAATAAACATTGAAAGTATATGCGATCCTACAATAACGTTGTCGCGGTTGAAATCGAGTCTTAGGTGATGAAATTGTAAGTTGTGTAGCTCCCTCTCAAGTTCAAGATATACTACATATTCTGGAATTTTTATGGTCGCAGCTACTACTATTGTATGGCCGTAGGGGCTATTTGAAATTCATGAAAATTTACCGGGAGCACCGGTACATTTTAATATTTACTTTTTCTCGAAAGCAGAAGTGTTTTAGGGGCTAAATTTTCTAGTGCTTGGTAAACATCACAGGGGGATCCAAATATATCAAAATTGTAAAAAAAACACTTTCCAGCCAATTTTCTAAATTTCCAAAACTTTGTAATACCTTTAAGGCCGTCTGTACTAGTTTGGCTAGGAGGGATTAGACCACCCAGGGTGATCACTGACAGGTGGCTATCTCATCAACAAAAGAGGATCATGGGGGAACCAATGGTCACCGATTAGGCATTGTTTTCTATATGGAGGGAGCAAGTAGTTACAAGTAGTAAAGTGGGGCTTTAAAGTGTTTTTTAAGGATTCTTTTAACCTTTCAACTCAAAACCGACTCAGAACCAAATCTGACGGCCTGTTAATCAGTGAACCTGCTGAGAAAGCTGATGCCCTGAATAGACAGTTCAATATGGTTTACACAGGAAATTACAACACAGAAAAATTACATTTACCACCTGCCAGAA